AAGGCTGTAGGTTGTGCTTATTGTAATTTAGCATTAACATATTGTCCAGTCTTAAAGGCCATGACAGTTAGGTTTATAATCTAGTATCTTGGCATAGATAGGAAACATGTTTATAAAATTTAGTATTAATTTTAGTAAGTTAATTATCAATAATTAACACTAGTTGTGTAAAATGTGTGGTACTGCAGTTTAATAATTATGGTCCAGAATCTTGTTGGATGTTAATGTGAGTGAGTGAATATTTCCAAAAAGTTGATGAACAGTGGCCATACCTATTGGAATAGATAAAAAGGGCAATTTGAAAGTCATGAGGTGACACCCAAGCTCGGGGATGCTGTATTAATTTATCAGGTAAACTTATATTGCTTGTTATGGGAGACTGGCCACTGTAATTCTCTACTCGATATACAGGCTAAATAGTCTCTACTATGAAGTCCATATGCTATTGTCAAGAAAGTACATAGGTGGGTTTTAGGTTATGCATTGGATGAGGAAAATGGGAATGTATAACTTGTCCTTGATAATAGTTTAGTATATTTTTTAGCTAGTATGTTGCATAATAGAAATAGTGGTAAAATGTTCATTGCACACAATGGCACCAGCTGTTAAATGATATTGATCAGTGCATTGTTACTAGATTCTTGGAACTTTTCCTTGCATGGTCAGTAATTTAATATGGTAATTATAGATTTGTATACTTGCCTATTGGTTAAATTTGGTGCAAATTAGTTTTTATTGTACATTTCTAAAGTTTTCTAATAACTTGTTATACATAGTTACTTTAATATTCATAAACTGCTAAAGTGCATAATTTTAAAGTTTAATAGAAATTAAAAGTATACATAAATTTATTAATTTAGATTTTCTCTTGACAGGTGGAGATGCATTTTCTGCAATGACCCCTGTAATGTATTGAAATGTATTTGTTGGTAGTAGCTTACAACTTTGGTTATGGCCTCTTGTGTTGATGTTGTCACTTATTGTAAATTGTGATGAATGATGGTATGAGAGCTGTTCTCAGTTTATTAAAACAAGCTTTTTGGCCGTTTTAGAATACTTAATATTCTTGGCACCATCTGTCTTGAGACTAATAGACTTGCATTACTAGATCATAAATTTATGGGTGTCATGGGCAGTTGACCTTCCTTATGAGCAACAAGGTGATGCAAGGTAATTTTTCCCCCACACTTTGATGTAGTTGTTTAAGCCATAGTGTGGTGCGTGGGTTTGAAGAAATAATCACCGCTCCACATTGTGATAAGATGGATTCCTGTTGCATTGAAGCCTGCAAGTTGAATAAATGTTTTGGCAAATATTGTAGTTATAATACTGTACACTTGTAATACTTATTATAAACACTGTATACTTATAATACTGTGAATTTTTTTATTGATAAATACCAGTTTATATTGTTAATGAGAATAATGATTATAGCTTGGTGAAAGGGTGGTTATATTAATTTTAGAAGTACTTTGTTATAGCAAATGTTCGTTTTGAAGGTAGTTGAAATGTAATTCTTATAAATTGCCCATTTCTAAGTCGGCAACATCGATTTTAAAGTATTGAAGGCATTGTAGGAAGTCTTTACCAAAGTAAAGGTATATTGGGGCACTTAATGTAGGTGTATGCAAGCTAAAAGTTGAAAATGTTAATAGAACATTAATGTTGTATAGATTGTCACTGCCCATCCTGTAGATATTAGTCATGGCAAGTTGTCTACTAAATGAGGTCCCAAACCCTTTCTGGCTTGTCATGAGGGAGGGGGGGGGGGGGTGGGCTTGGTGGGCAGCTACTGGAATGATGCTCCATGGGGTCAGTCCTGTCATTAGGAGGCCTTGTGCTCCTGTTGCTGTCTTCACCAATTTTGCTAGACACTTTAACTTTTTAACTTTTAGTTTCAATTTTCTAACCCCTCTTCTCATTTCAAACTAATCATTTCCTGCTGACCTTTTGCCAGTCTTGATTATTCTTTGACTTGACTTCTCTTTTGATGCATGGGTGTTTCGGGAGGCATACTCGCCTGTCTAGAGTGAGGGGGGACCCCTTTTATCGCTCTTCCTTTCGTCGCTGAACACTCTTAACACTGACGGTTCTTGAGGTGGCGTACAATCAGTTTATTCGTTGGAGGAATTGCTTTGAATAGCGCAAAGAATTTTCACTTGTGAAGTGGGGTGTTAACTTGAGATTTTATTAAATTTAAGAGTAGAGTTTATTTATAATTAAATTTATATTTAAATGTAAATTTGTCTGCTTAATCTTCAGTTCAGTTAATTGTTGGGCTAGAAGTTTGTATCGTATATAAATTTAACAAGCGTGATGCATCAAATGAACAATCTAAATGGGCTGTGTTCAAATGTCAGTTTGCAGATGCACCTTAATTGACTGTGCCATGACATGGTAAAAGAATTGCAACTGGGAGGTCTACTGACCTCATGGATTTGTTCATCTAAATTTAAAAAAATTAAAAAGATAATTTCATAATTGAAAGTAAAGAGTTACAGAATACAAATTAACTGGTACCTGTACTTGATCTTTTAATAATATAACTGAAGTTTAAATAGGCTTTTTCTTTCAGAACATGGATTGGAAAGTCCTAAACTACATTCCTGGAGTTTGAAGGTGTCGATTGACATTCAGAATCAGGTGTGGTAGTATTTTAAACAGATTTGCATTATATTAAATAGTAAAGTTAAAATCTATCATTATGGCTAGATAATCTGAATGATTGCATATAATGTAAAGAAAAAATTGCCATAGTCTGAAGTATCTTTCTCAAGTTTAATGTACTCAAACTTAGATAATGGCTACTCAACTAATTTTTGTTGCTTGATTAGCATTAGTGAGAAGCTGACAATATTAACATTTTGGTAGATTTGAAAGGAACATTATCTATTGTGAATTTGTGTAAACTTGCAAAAGTAAAATAAGCCCAATACAGAATTTATAAGCTAATTTGGTTAAATGTTTCTAATGCTTTTATAGATTACAATGGTATCCAAGCATTGACTGACTTGAAGTGTGGCTGTTCTACTCTGCACATCTATGAAGCTGGTATGTTGAATTAGTTTTAGCTATATCAATTGCCGTACCAATATGGGGGATCCTAACTATAAATTGGTTTGAAAATAAAATTTCGGTAGCATGCCTTTAATTTTTACTTAAAAGGGCTTTATTCTAGAATTTATAAATGAAAGATGGTGGGGGAAGTAGCTAATTTATTAGTGTAGTTTTAAAAAGGCAAATATTGAAGTTTAAAGATAATTCTTTTCTTTGCACAGCAATTTTTGAACCATATTTAATGTTTCATTGACAGGTTGTGGAGGGTCCTTCCAACATAATTTCAGGGATGGTGTACAGAACAATTGGTGAAAGTTATGCTACAGAAAATAGCAGTTGTGTGTGAGAATTAGTTGGCAAAAGTAAGTTTACTGATATAATTAGTTTAGTGTTTAAATATTTAGGTAAAAAATTGATTGTGAAGGGGCCTTGACATGGGAAAATAAACTAGTTCTAGGCCTTGACAAATGGGGTACAATATCAGTTTAGTCCTTGCAGGAATTGCTTTGAATAGCATAAAGAAAATTTAAAATGTAAAGTGTTAATTCTTAAATGGAATAAAATCCGAAGGTATATAAATATTTAAAATGTAATTGGTTAGTTTTGGTTTTTAATTATTTGGCTAAAAGTGTGCAATCTATAAATTGCACAGTGATATCTCAAATGAACAAATCTACAAGGGCTGTGATGGTTCAAATGTGTGAAGATTGCACATGTACCATGACAAGGTAAAAGAAATGCCTGGGAGGCCTACTGACCTCATGGCTCTAGCATTCCTGGTTTGGTGCCTTTTGATAATTACTTAATCATGGCTCCTGCAGTTGGATATAGGTTTGAACCCTCATGGATTTGTTCATCAAAATGTTTAACTTAAAAGGATATGTTCATAACTGCAAGTAAAAAATTATTAACTGGTAACTGTCATGGTTTTTAATATAATTGAAGTTTAAATAGACTTTTTCTTTCAGAATATGGATTGGGAAGTGCAGAACTACATCCTGGAGTTTGAAAGTGTTGACATTCAGAATAAGGTGTGTGGTAAACATTATTTTAAACAGTAAAGTTAAACAATCTAGCATTATAGGTAAAGATAATTTGAAATGATGGTTGCATGTAGATAATGTAAATTAAAAATTGCCATTAAAGTCTGAAGTATTGTTCTCCACTTTGATGTACTTGTGGCTACTCAAACTAAGTTTAATGTCAATGTTTTTTGCTTGATAAGCATTAGTGACAAAATCCACTAAAATGTTAATATTGTAAGATTAAATGAACATTATCCATTGTGAATTTTCAAAGTGACTAAAGTAAAATTAGCCCAATACAGAATTTATAAGGTAATTTGGTTAAATGTGTTTCAGGTGCTAATGAAGATTACAATGGTACCAAAGCAGTGAGGCTATTCTACTCCACACATCCAATAAACTGGTATGTTGAATTACATGTTTTAGCTATATCAAATAATTAATTCACTTTCTTTTTCATCTAGTCCATTTATAGATGTGTACCAAAGTCCTACTGTTACCACCTGCAGGGATTGATGCAGTTTGTACTGATCCTACCCCATTTCATAGAAGGGGACCAGGCAGTCCTGCAGATTTCCCTGGCTTGGCTTTTTCAGAGCCCTGCTCTACTACCCATCCAATAGATGGACTAGAATTGCATAGGTGTAGGGACCCTTAACAATGTGCAAACATTGTTAATAACTACAGGGCTTGTTCACTGAGAGTGGATACATCCAGAGGTTTAGTGCCTGGAACATGATGTACATAGGCCTATGTACATGTTGAGGGCACTAAACCAATAGATGTGATGCACTCTTGCAGCCAACAAGTCTTGCCTCAAAATACAAGTAAGGGGTAGGCCTTGCTGAGCCAATCTTAAAAGATTGGGACTTAGGGGTTTTGGTGCTTATAGATAGGTGTGTTAATAAAATGAGTGTCCCTGTTTGATATACTTTATTTTTCTTTTACAGGTGGATGATTTCCTTGGTACTCTGGAGTTTTCCCTGGCCTTGATGATCTTTTGGAGTCTTCAGTGGATTGCATCTAGGAGCAGCAGCTTCCCACAACCTGAAATGGACACTAGTCAATATTAGATGTTACACTGTATACTATGCAATAAATATTCTAATGAAACTACTTTATACTGTACTTTATCCTGAAATTAGCAAAGATTCTATCATGCTGGAAATTACTGATTATTCCTGATGCAAAGTCTAACATCTAAAGAACTTCTGAAATTTATAAATAACTTACTAAAGTGAAAATTATTGGTAGGTGTTAGTATATCGAACAGGGACACTCATTATTTTTCTTTTACAGGTGGATGATGTCTTTGGTACTCTGGACATTTTTTTGGCCTTTGAAGTCTCAACCTGAAACATAAAATTGTCTTAGTTATATTGTATACTATTTAATGAAACTTTATGTACTTTATCCTGAAAGTAGCTTTAATTCAACTGTGCTTGAAATTTATTACTAATGCAGTCTTCCTAACAATGACATCTAAAGAAAACTGATTTATACATGCAGGTTTAAATTAATGCATTATGAGTTATAAGTTTTCATAAAGGTAATGTAGTTTATGAGAACTTAAACTTCATAAAGCTATTATAAACTTACACATGAGCATCTTAAGCATACAAAACTGAAATCATTTTGACCACTTTTTAGAACTTTGCATTCCAAACTGAATTAACCTAATAAAATTTAAAATTATTTATAATATAACTACCAAATTTCACTTCTAAAACAAATGTATGGGCTAAACTTCCACTTATCAATGATGTTGCATAGCTTATGTAAAAATTTAAGTCAATGGCAAGATTGAAAAAAAACTAAATTTAGTTTAATGTGCCTTACTAAATGTCACACCTTAGCCCATTATAGTAATCGCATTGGTTATGTATTGAAACTCTACAGGAAACTACAACTTTCATACTTGCTAACAATATTGTCTAATGCTGGACAATATCAAATGAGACCAAACACTACAATTTTCTACTAGTCTAAGAAAAGAAAAAAACTTTAGAAATGTCCAATCTGTGTTAATATTTGCTGCACTATGAAATGTCTACCAAATATTTGGAATCAACACTAAATTCACACGCCAGACAATCCATTACCACAAATGTTTCAAGCTGCTGAATATAACTATTTAAAGATATTGTATACATACACTGCCTGTAACAAGCACCATAAATGGGAAGAGCTTTTCAAACTAAAATTATAAAAACTTCAGATACCTGGAATTCAATCTAAGCTCTTAAATGAACTTTCCATTCAAACTTATTGACACTTAAACTCACTATATAGGTTCAAAGCTATTCTCAACTTTATCTGGATTTCAAATGTCACTTAAATTTTTTAAACTGCCAAGCAGAAAAATTCTGATTACTTTAACCTCACATCTGCAAGGTCCTGAAGGGGAGATTCATTCATAGTCTTGTAAAATCAACAAAACGGTTTGTTAAAAAATGAACTTTTTTAAAGATAACCAGCTATTCGCACAAGACTATTGGTACACAAGTACTTTGTTTGCTAAAGCACCATATGAAACACTAGGAATAAAATACCAGGCACATAGAATAAATGGTAGAAAGGATAAAAACGAAGGCTTAATTAAACCAAAGAAATTAAAGGTTCCTCCGAAACAGATTTGACTGGAGGCATACCACAAGGGTCTATACCTTATATACATCAATAACAAATTAAAATATTAAAAACCACCTCAAATTTGCAGATGACGCCAAGATTTATGGTATAAAGAACATGAAACTATTATATCGAGTCCTTACAAAGATCTACACGAACTCTAAAAATGGTTCAAAGACTGGCAAATTCTTCTTAATATACGTTTAACATTGCAAAACCTTAGAGGTGAGCCAGAACAATCCATATCACAACTACCACATTAACATTAAAATGAAGCAGAACGATGAAATAAAGGACCTTTGAGCAAGAATCCATCATTAACCAAAAGTTGCTGCACTAACATCACAATCACTAACAAAACTTTTGAAATAATTTAGCGACATTTTGACTTTAAGGAAAAGAAGGTAGTTATTCTACTGTTAAAACACTTATACACCAGATATCTATTATCACTTAGATAACTGTATCCAAGCATGGACACCCCCACTCTCTTTAGAAAAACACATCTACTTTCAAACAACTTCAACACTGGCCAACAAAAATATTTCTAAAACTAAGTCGACTAATACCAGGAACAACTGAGGGCCACGACAAACACTGCAGCCCTCTCCTACCCCAAGTCTTATGCTATTAATGATCCAAGAAATTTTGATATACTTCCTACAGACGAGTCCCGTGACAGGACGATCTGGCGAGTAAACTGAAGCACGATACAGGTGTCAACGGACATCAGTCAGCCCACTTGTCACCACAGTAGATAAACTAATAACATTATAACCCGCAATTTTCTACCACTCCCTGTGGCCATTTAAATCAATAAAACCCAGGGTTGTGGCAATGTTATACAGCATAAGGTAAGGTATACAGGAATGCCTGGTAATGTCTAGTCCTTGTATGTCCATTAGGCGACTAAACTGAATAATAACATTTCTGGTGTTAGACTATTTAAGCCGAGTTTCTCAATCGGTACAAACTTTTAAAACCAAATAGGAATGCGCTTTAAACGTCCATTTATTTGGAGATTCTGCTTACCAGAATACAAATTACCGAGCTATGAAAGTACTACGAGGCAAGTTTAACTGGATGAGTGTTTGCCTATCCACTCCCCCATGAGGTATGTGATAACAATAAATAAAGAAACGGTCTTTGTGCATTCAGCGTGCAAAACTCTGACATGACATGACCAATATAGCCAGGTCATACCTACCCCTCCTACATACCCCCTAACTCCCTTCTACTCCCTCACTCCTGCCTTCCCTCCTACCCCTTCATTCCTCCCTCCTGCCCTCTCATTCCTCCCTGCTACCCCCTCATTCCTCCCTATTACCCTCTCACTCCTCCCCCTTCCTCCTGCCTCTTCACTCTTCCCTTCTACACCCTACGCCCGCACTCCTCCTCCGCTTCACTCGCACCCCTCACTACTACCCCCTAACTCCTCCTCCCCCCTCACTCCTCTTCCCCCCTCACTTCCCCCATACTCCCCCACTTTTCCCCACACTCCTCATACATAGAGTATGGGGGGAAAGTGGGGGAATATGGGGGAAAATGGGGTAGTATGGGGGAGTGAAGGGGAAAGTGGGGGAGTATGAATATCGGAAATATCGCAAATCTGAGACCTGAACAAGATTTTTCACCCAAATTCTGGCTCTCTGCACGTATTCGCAGTTTGAAATTCCGACTTTTTATACCAATAATATGCCAATTACTGAAAGCGGCAGTGGGTCATATTTTGCCCAAAACCCCCAGCAGTTTTCAAAATATCTCAAACATCCCAATTTCGAGGCCTGAGCCATATTTTGGAGCCAAATTCTGGCTCTCTGAACGTATTCGCAGTTTGAAATTACGAAATTTTTTACCGAACACATGCCAATTACTGAAAGCGGCGGTGGGTCATATTTTGCCCAAACCCCCCTGCAGTTTTCAAAATATCTCAAACATCCAAATTTCGAGGCCTGAGCCATATTTTGTAGCCAAATTCTGGCTCTCTGCACGTATTCGCAGTTTGAAAATACAGCTTTTTTTACCGAACATCTGCCAAGTACTGAAAGCGGCAGTGGGACATATTTTGCCCAAACCCCCCTGCGGTTTTCAAAATATCTCAAACATCCCAATTTCGAGGCCTGAGCCATATTTTGGAGCCAAATTCTGGCTCTCTGCACGTATTCGCAGTTTGAAATTACGACTTTTTTTTACCGAACATATGCCAAGTACTGAAAGCGGCAGTGGGTCATATTTTGCCCAAACCCCCCTGCAGTTTTCAAAATATCTCAAACATCCCAATTTCGAGGCCTGAGCCATATTTTGGAGCCAAATTCTGGCTCTCTGCACGTATTCGCAGTTTGAAATTACGAAATTTTTTACCGAACACATTCCAATTACTGAAAGCGGCGGTGGGTCATATTTTGCCCAAACCCCCCTGCAGTTTTTAAAATATCTCAAACATCCCAATTTCGAGGCCTGAGCCATATTTTGGAGCCAAATTCTGGCTCTCTGCACGTATCCGCAGTTTGAAATTACGACTTTTTTATACCGAACATATGCCAAGTACTGAAAGCGGCGGTGGGTCATATTTTGCCCAAACCCCCCAGCAGTTTTCAAAATATCCCAAACATCCCAATTTCGAGGCCTGAGCCATATTTTGGAGCCAAATTCTGGCTCTCTGCACGTATTCGCAGTTTGAAATTACGACTTTTTTTACCGAACATATGCCAAGTACTTAATGCGGAGGTGGGTCATATTTTGCCCAAAACCCCCAACAGTTTTCAAAATATCTCAAACATCCCAATTTCGAGGCCTGAGTCATATTTTGGAGCCAAATTCTGGCTCTCTGAACGTATTCGCAGTTTGAAATTACGAAATTTTTTACCGAACACATGCCAATTACTGAAAGCGGCGGTGGGTCATATTTTGCCCAAACCCCCCTGCAGTTTTCAAAATATCTCAAACATCCAAATTTCGAGGCCTGAGCCATATTTTGGAGCCAAATTCTGGCTCTCTGCACGTATTCGCAGTTTGAAAATACAGCTTTTTTTACCGAACATCTGCCAAGTACTGAAAGCGGCAGTGGGACATATTTTGCCCAAACCCCCCTGCAGTTTTCAAAATATCTCAAACATCCCAATTTCGAGGCCTGAGCCATATTTTGGAGCCAAATTCTGGCTCTCTGCACGTATTCGCAGTTTGAAATTACGACTTTTTTTTACCGAACATATGCCAAGTACTGAAAGCGGCAGTGGGTCATATTTTGCCCAAACCCCCCTGCAGTTTTCAAAATATCTCAAACATCCCAATTTCGAGGCCTGAGCCATATTTTGGAGCCAAATTCTGGCTCTCTGCACGTATTCGCAGTTTGAAATTACGAAATTTTTTACCGAACACATACCAATTACTGAAAGCGGCGGTGGGTCATATTTTGCCCAAACCCCCCTGCAGTTTTCAAAATATCTCAAACATCCCAATTTCGAGGCCTGAGCCATATTTTGGAGCCAAATTCTGGCTCTCTGCACGTATTCGCAGTTTGAAATTACGACTTTTTTTTTACCGAACATATGCCAAGTACTGAAAGCGGCGGTGGGTCATATTTTGCCCAAACCCCCCAGCAGTTTTCAAAATATCCCAAACATCCCAATTTCGAGGCCTGAGCCATATTTTGGAGCCAAATTCTGGCTCTCTGCACGTATTCGCAGTTTGAAATTACAACTTTTTTTACCGAACACATGCC